CAAGCCTGTCTTGGGACCTTAGGCCGCTCCTTCCCTTCCTGGTCCCAAGACACGTGTGCCCTTTCTGGTTGGCGTCTTCCCTTCCTTTCTCCGCCCTCCCTTCCTCCCCCCTGGGCCCACCTGGCCCCGTAGCCCTCTGTCTCCATTCTCCCTCCTGTAGCCACACAGTGTTCTAGGGAGTACGCACCCTCCCTCCTGTCTTCCCTCTTGGCCCGTCTTGTCCCGTCGAGCCCTCCTAGCCTCCCCGCTTCTCTTCCCCCCCCCTCCATCGCACCTGCCTGCTTTCTCCATTGTGCAGTGCTCCAGACGTTGGTGCCCTTGGCCTGTCTTCCTTGCCTTGTTGCCTCTCCTGGTTGGCGCTTCCCTTTGAGGTTGATTTTGAGAATTCTCAAAATCAACCTCAAACAAAATGGTGCCCTTGGCCTGTCTTCCTTGCCTTGTTGCCTCTCCTGGTTGGCGCTTCCCTTCGCTCCCTCCTCCCCTCCCGTTCCCCCCAACCGCCCCAACCCCCTTTCCCTCTCCCGGCCTCCGTGGCCCTATAACCTGTCTTCTCTTTCTCCCCCCTGTATCCTCCCCCCGCGTTCCTTCCCACAGGTTGTTTCCCACAGGTCTCAGTCCGTTGCTTGCTCCTCCTGTCTGTGCGCGTGTGCGCCTCTTCTCTTCACTTCTATGCCATGCTTCCTAGGCTAGTGGTTCGATCCAGCCGTGCGCTTCTCCTTTTCCTTCCATGCCTCCTTGCTGCCTTGTCTCCCCTCTTAGGCGTTCCTCCCTGCTGTCATTGGCGTTCCCCTCCCCTCCCCTCCCCTGGGCCCCCCTGGCCCCATAACCTGTGTTCTCTCCGCGCTTCTTCCCCCGCCAGTCACACTCCCCACGTCCAGGCTGCGAGCTCTGCCACTCTTTCGCGGCCTTGCACTCCCTGCACCATTTCTGACTGCGCTGCCTTGTGCCCCGAGTTGACTTTTTAGTCGACTCAAAGTCAACCCATCCAGGCTGCGAGCTCTGCCGCTCTTCGCGCCCTTGCACTCGCTGCACCATCTCTTCCTGCGCTGCCTTGTGCCTCTCCTCGCGCAGCTGCTCCTGCTCTCTTCCTGCATCTCCCCGCCCCTCCTTGGGCCCCCCTGGCCCCATAACCTGTGTTCTCTCCGCGTTTCTTCCCCCGCCAGTCACACTCCCCACGTCCAGGCTGCGATCTCTGCCGCTCTTCTTGGCCTTGCACTCCCTGCACCATTTCTGACCGCGCTGCCTTGTGCCTCTCCTCGCGCTGCTGCTCCTGCTCACTTCTTGCGTCTCCCCCGCCACCCTCTGCACAGGTCTGCTTCTGCGCTACACACCACTTCCGCTAATTGTCGCTCCGTGCTCTTCTGTGCGTCCAGGACTCCAGGGCAGGGAGAGAGCGTGCTGAAGAGAGGGTAGGCTGCGCTGCTGAGACAAGCTTCCTGCTGTCGGCGCTTCTGTCAAGGCAACAGCTTCAGCTGAAACGAACACATGCGACTCAACAGGAGGACACATGGGAGGCGGAGGCGCTTGTGTTTGCAGGCTGAAACCGGCGGCCAAGCGGCGGTTGTGTTGCGATCTATCACGAGAGGGTGTGTGGAGGAAGGAGGGGTGCTGGGCGAAAGCGAACGCGAGTGGGAGTGGCACGTGTCTGCTGGATGCACGTCTGCTCAGGCTGCAGCAGAAGACACACCCACCAACCCCCTATTTTGTTGCAGACCTAACGGCACGAGGACGAACGAGGGTGGGGCGGGGAGCGGTGTCGAATGGCGCATCTCTGCTGGCTGCACGTCTACTGGGACAACCACAGGCGGCGACGGGAGACACTCCCCATCCCCGTTTTCCGTGCAGGCTGAGACGCAAACGTCTTCGATGGGAGGCGGCGTGTCTGCTGTCTGCACGTCCGTTAAACAATCGCGGGCGCTGATGGGAAGACACGAGGGTGCGGGCTCGAGGGTAAATGCGCGTGGGGTGTGGGCGGCTGTAACGGAGTGGCGTGTGTTTACTGGGACGGCGACGGGAGACACTCGCCATCCCCCTTTGTCTGCAGTTAGTGAGTAAACGCAGTCGATCCGTGGAGTTGCGCGTCTGCTGTCTTCACATTCGCTGGGACAACCGCGCGCGCTGATGGGAAGACGCGCGTGGAGGTGAAGGGATGTGAAGAACGATTGGGAGAAGTAGAAGAGGCGACGCACGTGTGTGTGTGTGCTGATTGCACGTCTGTTGCGACAACCACAGGCGGGCAGCGAGAGACATCCACCAATTTCCTCTTTTGCAGGTTGAGGACATTCGGAGGCGCTTTTAAAGAGACAACGGGACGAGTTACAAACGAGTGAGGCGGGAATGAATAACGCGTGCCTGGTATCTGCACGTCTGCTGGGACAACCACAGGCTGCACCGGGAGACACCCACCAACCACCCCTTATCTTGCACGATGAAGAAACACACACAGATGCCTTCGAAAACTTTCGAGACGTCTCAAAACACACCCACCAACCGCCCCTTATCTTGCAGGATGAAGAACTAGCGAGGAACTATCGAGGAAGGTTGGTGCGGGGCTGTGCGCGTGTGTCTGCTGTCTACATGTCTGCTGGGACAACTGCAGGCGGAAGCGGGAGACACCTACCGAACCCTTTTTGAGAATTCTCAAAAGACACCTACCGAACCCCGTTATTTTTGCAGGTCGTGAGACGGAAGGAAGTGTGAAGGATGTGTTAAGTGCGGTTGGTGGAGGTGATGCAGGGTGAAGGGCGAGCGATGTGAGAGATACGCACGTGTGTCTGCCATCTGCACGGCTGTTATGAACGCGCACGAGTCACACAAGGATGAACGCGCGCAGGGCCGTGCTTTTGAGGCGCCTCAAAAGCCGTGAGAGAGTCGATGTGCACGTTTGTTGGGACAACCGCGGGCCGCAACGGCAGACACCCACCCAATCCCCTTCTCTTGCAGGTCGTGAGTAGCAAGCAAGTGACAAATGACGGTCGCTGGAGGACGAGCGACGTGAGAGAGGGACGCGCGTGTTTGCTGTCGGCACGGCTGCAGGACCAAGAGTGCTGCTGCAAGGGGAAGACATGTGCGGAAGGGAGGCGTGCGGGCGACGAGCGTCTATGTGGACTGGAAACGCCGGCGAGTGCGAACGTGAGTGGGATAGAGTGGCGAATGGCTGGTTGCTGTCTGCACGTCTGCTGGGACAACCGCAGGCTGCAACGGATGGGAGGAATCCACGCAATCCCCTTCTCTTGCAGTTTTTGAAGAGAGGAGCTCGCTGGGTGTGGGATGGAGTACCATGCACGTCTGCATATCTGCACGACATCCTCTGCATGTCCCACATCTGGTCGCCTGGTCTGCTGCAACACGGTGGGCTGGGTAGGGTGCACGTCTTGGTCCACAAGTCTTCACGTCTAGGCGTCTGCATGTCTGAGCTTGGCGCTGATGGGATGGCACTCGCACTGGTCTGAGAAAGCGGTGCAGCGTCTCATGTTTTCTTCTCTTGTTTGTATCCGTGCACTTGGAGCAAGCACTGTGGGGCATGCTGCAGCCTGGTCTGAGAAAGTGGTGAGGGAATTTGTCAAGGGTGTGCTTCCCTGCTTCTCTTCTGTGACTGCAGCATCTCATGTTTTCCTGGTTCTCTCCTGCTTCTTTGCAGTGTCTCATGCAGTCGGGATGGACTAGCAGCTTTTCTGGCACTTGGATTGGAGCTGCAGCCTGGTCTAAGAAAGCGGTGAGTGGAATTTGTCAAGGGTGTGCTTTCCTGCTTTTCTTCTGTGACTGCAGCGTCTCATGTTTTCTTCTCTTGTTTGTATCCGTGCACTTGGGAGCAAGCACTGGGCATGCTGCACCCTGGTCTGAGAAAGCGGTGCAGCGTCGCATGTTTTCCTCTGTTGTTTGTATCCGTGCACTTGGAGCAAGCACTGTGGGGCATGCTGCACCCTGGTCTAAGAAAGCGGTGAGTGGAATGTGTCAAGGGTGTGCTTCCCTGCTTCTCTTCTGTGATTGGAGCGTCGCAGGTTTTCTTCTTTTGTTTGTGGGCGTGCTGTTGTGCAGAGAATGAAGATGACCAGCTGTGTGGGGGGCATGTGGGTGTGTCCATGTGTGTGGGGGCATGTGGGTGTGCATCAACCTTCCATCTGCATCAACCTTCCATCTGCATCAACCTTCCATCTGCATCAACCTTCCATCTGCATCAACCTTCCATCTGCATCAACCTTCCATCTGCATCAACCTTCCATCTGCATCAACCTTCCATCTGCATCAACCTTCCATCTGCATCAACCTTCCATCAGCATCAACCTTCCATCTGCATCAACCTGCAACTACCCACCATCAACCTTTCATCTACCCACCATCAACCTTTCATCTACCCACCATCTGCATAACCTGCATAAACTTTCTCAGCATTACTGTACCATCTGCATCAACAGTTTTCGCATGTGGCTCAGCTTTCAGTTTGCTTTGCATCTGTTTTGTGTGTGTAGCAAGACAGTTACGCCCTGGTGTTTTGGGGAGCCTTAGCAATAGGGCTTATTCTGTTATCCAACGATTGCACCAGCAATGATTTTTTAGGCGTCTCAAAAGGAATTTTAAGGCAATTTTTTATGCGCCTAAAAAAACAGCACAGCGAAACCAGAGGCGAGCCATATCCAACGAAAACCACCATGCTTGCTCCTTCACTTGTTGGAGTTGATGACTCCAACTGTCCATGGAATATTCACCACACGCACCAACAAAGAGGCAAAGGAAAACCAGAGAGGCGCCACAACCAACGAATGCACCAGCAATGCGTACGTTACATGCCTACATGGGCTGAGAAAGACAGATGGTATGGACAGACTATGGAATATGGGTCATAAAAATGGTACACAACGCGTGCTCCTGACAAGTCTTGAACCTCCACATGAAAGGGAGCAGAACACGAAACAGGTGGCCACAACCAACGAATGCACCACAAACGCAGCAGCGAAAGATAGTAGTTTGCATGGGTACCTGGGTGAATGAATAGAATATGCTCATAAGCTGAACGACATTGCTTCCCGTCCTGCATTGGCACAAGAGACCAGGAGACACCACCAGGCGAACATCCCACAAACAAGAAGACCAAGGCAACAGTTGCAAAATGCACCAGCGCAGGATGCTTTAGGCAGCTAGCTGGGAAGTTGGTTTCACTCACGTTATTTCCACTGTGCACTTCAGGAAAATCGCGTTCAGATCCGCTGGTAGACATCCTACCGTGACACATAGCACTAACAAGAAACGCCAAGCAAAGACCGGCACAAGAAACGCAGGTAATGCCTGGAAGCACATCTACCTGGGCAGATATTAATCCCAGTATGGAAAAAGGAGATGGAAGGAAAGGATTGAACCCCGAAGCCCACTAACGGGATGGGGGAGGGAGAGGGCATGGCATGGCACAGGACGTGCAGGTATGGCAGGTACAAGCAGGCAGGGAAGAGGCTGCGCATCGGAAAGGAAGTTGCAGCAGAGAACAGAGACCTGGAAGGTACAATCAGGCAGGCAAGGGGCGGGAGATGGCAGAGAACGCAGACCTGGCAGGTGCAAGCAGGCAGGGAAGAGGCTCCGCAACTGCTTGGCGGAGTCTTCACCTGCAGCTTGCTTGAGATGATTCACAAGTTGAAGTTAAGCTGCTGTGGTGCTGGCAGGGCAACAACAACCAAGCAAACGGGGTAGAAGGAAGCACAGAAGGGGAAAGCGTTAGTCCCCAGTGCCCCGTATGGGGATGGGGGGAGGCGGGAGATGGCAAAGGACGCAGATCTGGCAGGCACAAGCACGTTTGGGAAGGAAGGCGGAAGACACAGGTCGATGCCTACACGCAACGATGGTTTAGGGTCTCGAATCTAAAGAGTAGGTGGAAGCATACGAGTAGAAACGGTGGAAGCGTGCAGGAATGGAGACAAAAGAGAAGTGAGTTGTCTGATATTCCACTGCTTCGCGAATCTTAAACTGCTGTGGTGCTGGCAAGGCAGCCACGGCAAAGGAAACGGGCTGGAAAGAAGCACGGAATGGACGAGCGTTACACTCCAGAGCCCCCCCTAAGCGGGTGGGGGAGGGGAGGGAGTGGAAGAGGAAGCAGGCCTGGCAGGCAGGTACCACCCGGCTGCAAATGGCCGGCAGAAGGGAGAGGAACACGGGTCCGAAGGCTACAAGTAACGATGGAAGATAGGTAGAGGACGAGTAGAAGAGTTGGAAGTGTGCAAGGAAGAGTGAACTGTGAAGAAGCCGGCTTCAAAGGGACGGCAGAAGGGAGAGGAACAGAGGTCCGACGGCTACAAGTAACGATGGAAGAGTGCCTGGGAGCAGGGAGAGGAGCAGGTAGATGACGAGTAGGAAAGTTGCAAGTGTGCAAGGAACAGTGAACAGTAAAGATCAAGCACAAGTGAGTCTCCTCGACATCCAGTGCTTGGCGAATCTTGAGCTGGGGCTTGCAGAGCGTGCAGCACACCACCTCCCAAGCTGCTGTGGTGCTGGCAGGGCAACAACAGGCAAGTAGCCGCGCTAGAGGGGAGAACGGAACGCAGAGCGTTAAACCCCCGAGCCTCGTACTGGGATGGGGGAGGGGGGGAGTAGGCAAGAGGATGCAGACCTGGCAGGTACAAGCAGGTTTGGAGGGAGAAGCAGGTTTGGAGGGAAAAGGCACCGGTCCGAAAGGTACAAATAGAGATGGAAGGGTGGCTGGGAGCAGGGAGGAGACGACTAGAAACGGTGGAAACGGGCAGAGCAGTAAAGAGGACGGACAAGTGAGTTGCCTGAATATCCACTGCTGGGCGAGCCTTGAGCTGGGCCTTGATTAAGCGAGTGACACGCCATCTCCGAAGCTGCAGTGGTGCTGGCAGGGCAAGCACAGGCAAGCGAGCGGGCTAGAGGAAGCACTGAATAGGGGATGGGGGAGGGACAGGAGATGGCAGAAGATCTGGCAGGTTGGGAAGGAAACACAGAAGGGACAGAGGAACACCAAGTCCAGAGCGCAACACGTTAGTGATGAATAGCTTGGAGTGGGTAGTAGACGAGAACGGAAAGCTTAAACGCGCAGAAACAACAAAGGGGAACGACAAGTGGGTGGCAGGTATATCCTATCTTAGGATACTCATTGCTTGAATAGTCATGGGCTGCGGCCCAGTTGAGCATGTGACACATTAGCTTCAGCTGCTGTGGTGCTGGCAGGCAACCACAGCCAAGCGAACTTGCACCCGAACGCAGCTATGGGAAGGCAGCTTTAGGCGGGTGGAGGGAGGGAATGAAGAAAAGTCTTGTAAGTGCAAAACCAGAATCATCAAATACTTGCCAGGCGAACTAGCACCCGAACTTGCCAAGTCCTGGGCTGGGGCTTGCTTGCGCATGTGACGCACTACTTGAAGCAGCTACACCACTGGCAGGACAGGAAAACCCACAGTGATGCACACGAACTTGAGGGGGAGATAGGAAGGGAAGGAGGAGCGTTGAGAACCCTAAACCCCCCCAAGTGATATAAGTGTGTTTTGAGACGTCTCAAAACACAGCAGCCACACCACTGGCAGGAAAACCCACAGTGATGCACACGAACTTGAGGGGGAGATAGGAAGGAGGGAGCATTGAGAACCCGAAACCCCCCCAAGTGATATAAGTGTGTTTTGAGACGTCTCACAACACAGCAGCTGCACCACGGGCAGGAAAACCCACAGTGATGCACACGAGCTTGAGGGGGAGATAGGAAGGAAGGAGCGTTGAGAACCCTAACCCCCCCGAAGGGGAATGAGGGCGGGGTGGGAGCAGCAGCAAGAGGGGAGTGAGAGTAGGGAGCTAGCAGCGGCAAGATGAAATTCGACCAGATAGTGAAGTGCTGAATTGTAAAATCCTTGACAAGTAACATCCTTGAGGGGATCTTGACGGCGCTGCTAAGCAGGCAAGTCGACTGTTTGAGAGAGTCTTCGGCTGGGGCAAGCCCATAACCACCGAAAGGAATTCGGTGAAGTAATTTAAGTAACATCTGGGAGGGGATCTTGACGGCGCTCCCAACTAGTCAAGTCGACTGCTTGAGAGAGTATTGAGCTGGGGATTGAAAACCCACAGCCACCAAGCTAACGGGAGGGAGAAGCTACCAAGAGTAGCGCGGAAGAGAAGCTGCGATGGCAAGAGGATGCAAGGTGACGGGGGGGAGGAGCGCTAAGCATTAGCAGAGTCGATGGGACTGCACGGTGAGAACGCTTCAACTGAACCTGGCATCAGGTTAGCAATAGTGTGACAGTGACAATAATCAGGCAACAAAGCGTAGGCAGAAACGGCAGCTCCTACCATAGTGCGGACCAATCAAGTTGATGGTTCGGGGGAGATTCAACAACAATAACACATCTAGAACAGTGCGAACGACAAAAAAAAGGGGTTTAAGATGCAGAAGGTGAGTACGACGCAGAAGGCGCGACAGGAAAAATGGAGCGCGGAGACTTGCACGTGGAAGCCTGCAAGTGAGAGACAAACACGACCAGGGTACAAGGGGCAGGCAGAAACAGGGAGCAGAAGAGAAGAAGGGATCGGATCGGACAAGGTGAATGTTGAGTACGGTTGAAAGGGATTGGATAGCGCAAAGAGCTGGACATGGGTTAGCGCATCACGCTTTCTGGACAAGGAGGTGGCGGACAGCCGAGGTGGGGGATTAGACATCATTTAGAAACGCAATGCGGAGAGCTGAGAGCAATGTAGATGTCGTTCAGAAGTTGACGCGGAGAGCGAAATTGCTGGACGAGATTTGAGGCCACGGGTAGCTTGAGGCTGAACTGGCTGGATGTACGTGTTGGGAGGGAGGATGGTACATCAAGCAAATCAGATCGATTCTCCAAGACAACAAAGTCAAAAAGGAAACACAACCAGTCGAATACGTGGGAGCACGGGAAACGTGCGACAAAAAGGCAGTCAATCTGGACTTGAACTTGGTTCCATTCCGTGAACCTGGAAGCACCAGGGAAAAGGGTTCAACACGGCGCCCCATCACCAGGGAAAGGTTCTCGCATCCCTGTCTCCTGCAACTGCTGAAAGCAGGAGCAAACGGTGCAGAAGGAATGGTACACGTCCAATCTGTAGAACTTATTTTAACAATTCAGTTCTTACGCTGGCCTCTGAGAGTCTTTTGCTTCCGTTAGCTCCTAGAGCCTGCTTCTCTGATACGTACATGAGAAAAGGCACGGAGTATGAGTGTAACTCTTACAACGTTTTTCGGGTTTAGCTTGCCTTTAGGACCTACTGATCTGTAGCAGACGAAGAGAACAAACACAAGAAGTTAATAATATCGTTTCCACTTCGAAGGAAACACAAATGACCACAATTGTCATGAAACCGTCGAGTCCAAGCGCGAAGTTCTTCGTAGACAAATGACGCATTCCAAAACCAGTTGATATCTTCTCAGCATCCTCAAGAAGGAAGGTAGCCGACGAATTAAACACGCACTTCACGACTCTGCTAATGCACTGGTCTCTCCTTGGCAAATCCAGCTCCTTGTCGATGATAGTTGAGAAAAATCAGCAATATTCTATTCTCGAAACTCCAACGAGAAAACGTTTTACCACGCGTGGCGACAGATCCAACTTACGCGAAAAGCCCGTCAACCGAACCAGCTCGCGCGAAAAAGCCGTCTGGCGATCCAAATCGAGCGGAAAGTCCCGACTGCCGATCCCACTCGCGCGAAAAGTCTGTCTGCCGAACCAAGTCGCGCGAAAAGTCTGTCTGCCGAACCAAGTCGCGCGAAAAGTCTGTCTGCCGAACCAAGTCGCGCGAAAAGTCTGTCTGCCGAACCAAGTCGCGGGAAAGTCCGTCTGCCGATATTGTAGCTAAAACACACACGAGCAGCTGCTGATGCTCTCAGCCTCACATCTCCTTGGACGTTGACGTCGCGATCTCGGCCATCACAGGCGGTTAACGCTAAGAATAAGCGTCAGCACGAATAGCTTAGCAGCAGCAATCGTCAGGGACAACGGCCAGGATGCACCGACCGAAGAGAAAAACCCGGACTGAGTATGTGTTACAGCTTCAACCATACCATAGCTGCATCTCCAGTGGAATCGCCACCATCAGAGACGATAAACCGCAGTAACCACCTGGAACCACCAACCTCTCGTGTCCAGCAACCACCTGGAAGCCGAAATCGCTTCAATTATCGTGGTTCAAGAGGAGACGTGACCTCTGTAGACCCCATCCGTGCGAAGGATAACGAATGTCCAAGGGAAACGATCTCATCCAAAGGATCGAAGAATATGTAAGGAGAGAAGACGAGAAAGAAGGCATTCTGTAGGGTCCATAGGAGAAGCGCGGACACCTGAACAGAATTCCATGGAGAAATAGCTCACAGCAGGGACGAGCCATGGGTGCAAGAAACTGTAATTTGTATATTCGAAGGAAATTGTCGTAACCATTCCTAAAAGTGAACAACGGAAGTGCCGCAAAGTGAAAAACCTGAGTGGGAGGTGGGAAGGGATGGTTGAAAGGACCCCCGCGCTGCGACATTGCTTGGCGACAACGATGACTGAAGGTAACTTCTAAGCACCTGTGCCTGTGGGCCATTCCTGACTTATCGCGAATATGCTTCGCCACCACCACCATTTTCGGTTTTCCTGAAATCACGCGGACCGCTCACGAGCATGGTGGGCGACGCTGTGGTGGCATGGCATCGCATGTGAAAGCTCTTTCGTGCTGGTCCCCGGAAACGTCGCGAACCTGGGGGTCGTCTCGTCTGACAAGTCGCCTCACCCGATACGCGTCCAGCCATTCGCTGCCGCACTGCACCCACCAACCTCGTGGGTCTTCGCGAAAAGTCTGGTGCCAGGGTAACAACCGTGAACCTCACGCTATGTATCATTCCGAAGGTTACACTTCTCTCAATTCTTCATTTTTAGGGTCATTTGGGGCTGGTTGTTGCATATTATTGTGATTTTATTTATAAAAATATCCATTTAGTGTTTCAGATTGTACCAAAAGGTACCCTCTCAAACATGATTTTTTTTTTTCAAGAAATTGGGTGTAAAGAGACAAAGCCCGGAATCTGGGGCATTCTGGCGATTCAATGTGTTTGTCAATGAGCCAGAATGTTGGGAAGATGGCGGATCGATCATGTGTCAATTCGGGCAGTCAAATCTTGCAGTTGCGCAATCCAAAAACTACTGGAATATCCTTCGCCCCATTCAAGAGAGTTTTCTAACAAGGAAATTCGAAGTACAGCTAGACTAGCTGGGGCAAAAACATAGCAGCGGGGTGCTCTCTTGGGATGGGAGACGCAAAAAAAACGGGTGTAGTATTTTAAATACCAAAAAGAAGCACCCCTACCCGCATATGCCGCCCATGAGTTCATTATTTCAGCAAGCTCGAAAATAATTTCAATATATGTCGTGTTCATATGCATAGCGGGAAGGCACCCCCACATTACCCAGTCGTATACAGTGCACGCCTATTGGTTGCAGTACACTGCATCCACGTCATCCAATTCCAGCAGCTTCTCCATCAGAGCTTCGTTCTGCTCCCGAGCCTCCTCGTCAGGCTGGGAAGTAGGTTGGGAAGGAAAGTCGGAAGCCGAAGAGAATGGAAAAGCTCATTCAGTCCATCCACACCATCAGCCCATACTCCTACATCTTAGCCCAGACCACCCTATCCCAGACCACCGTATCCCAGACCACCCTATCCCAGACCACCCTATCCCAGACCACCCTATCCCAGACCACCCTACCCCAGACTCCTCTAACCCAGAGCACCGTACCTAACCGAGACCTGCCTGCATGCTGCCTGACCTACCTGCATGCTGCCTGACCTACCTGCATGCTGCCTGACCTACCTGCATGCTGCCTGACCTACCTGCATGCTGCCTGACCTACCGCATGCTGCCTGACCTACCTGCATGCTGCCTGACCTACCTGCATGCTGCCTGACCTACCTGCATGCTGCCTGACCTACCTGCATGCTAACAAGAGACAGAGGTGGGGATGAACATGAGGTCTGAGTGCTCCGCGTCTACCGTCAGCCCATACTCCTGCAGCTGGGCCCATGCACCTCGTACCCCAGAGCACCCTACCTACCCCAGGTGTACCTGCACCCTCACAGCACAGGTCTACCTGCATGGTGGCGGTGGGGATGAACATGAGGCCTGAGTGCTCCGCGTCTACCGTCAGCCCATACTCCTGCAGCAGCGCCCAGTGAGATACCCCCATGCACCTCGTACCATCCCTGCTGCACATCCTCCTACCGCACACCACACCACCCTACCCCAGAACCTTCGACCCCAGAACACCTACCCCAGATGTACCTGCATGGCAGCGATGGGGATGAACATGAGGCCTGAGTGCTCCGCGTCTACCGTCAGCCCATACTCCTGCAGCTGCGCCCTGTGCCCTTCCCCCACAGGCTAGATCACAGCTCTACCCATCACATCTCTACCTGCATGTTGTCGGTGGGAATGAGCATGAGGCCTGAGTGCTCCGCGTCTACTGTCAGCCCATACTCCTGCAGCTGCCACCCCCCATGCCCCCATGCACCTCGTCTCC